ACCACAGACTTAAAAATAAAAAAAGTCTGTACCTTTGTGTATTATAAGTCAGGGGGTCCATGTGTACAAAGCTCGGGGGTCCATGTATACAAAGCTCGGGGGTCCATATATACAAAGCTCTCCCACAGGACAGTCACTGGGGGGGACGTCAGATAGCATCTGCCAAGCCAATCACTCACCAGCGTCCATGGGCACCCGGTATATCAGCGGATTCCATCCAGCCATTATGTTGTTCATTAAAATACCTCCTCCCATTTATCTTGTATGGGGATCATAATTTACTAACCGGCACTGGACTAATCCCAGTCACTGGTTACATGTTACCGGCATATCTTAACCCTTTCTAGACTAGGGGTGCCGTATGACATTATAACCTAACCAACCTCTTGTGCACATTGCAAAGCTATTTTCATTCTTTTTCATGGTAAGCCAATATGAAGCACATTCTGCATTGTCAGGTAAAGGTCACATGTCTGATTGTATACGGTTGTCCTCAGCAAATAATTTTTTGTGCATCTGTTGCAAAGCTTTTTCCCGGCAGATCCTGCAATAAGAGCACTTCATTGTTGCAGGCTGACCACACTGAGCTGCTGTCTTGCTTGTATGCTCCTGCAGTTGGCCACTAGGTTGTTTATCAGGTGTATAAGCTGGGCAGATAGGCAGCCCAATGGCCGACTGGAGGAGCTGGCACGGCAGGCTGACAACACTGTGGCCGATTGCAAGAGATTGTTTTAGTGTTGTCAGCCTGCAACAGGATCTCCAGGGAAGAAACTTTACAACAGATTCACAAAAAAACAATTTGTGTGCAAAGACTCTATACAGAGAGTGAACCGTGAACTCACAGCACACTAAACAAAAAGTGCACGAGGGTGCTTTGGTCCTCCTCCGAAGAGGAAGGGCCACGAATTCATGGACCCCCCGGGGCGCAAGGCTCCTGACAGAGGGCAAGGACAACTCAGGTCCACCTACCTGAAGGCTGGCTGACCCCCATACTCAGGGCCCTACCGAAGTAGCACATGTGTATCCAGAGTGTGCGCATGCACTTGCACATGCATTTAACCCAGGGGTGGGCAAACGCCAGCTATTGTGGAACTACAAATCCCATGAGGCATTGCAAGATTCTCACAGCCACAGACATGACTCTGAAGACAGAGGTATCATGAGATTTGTAGTTTCACCACAGCTGGAGGGTCAGAGTTTGCCCACCCCTGATTTAACCAACGGGCCAGTAGTTAGGCACAGGCTGATCGTCATCCTGGGAGGGAATACACAATTATAAGGGCACAGCTCTGCTGACAGTGAACTTTACAGTGTTAAAAGTTCATGACTGAATGGTTCCTGAATTCCACTTCCATTTCTTCCCCCCACACTCACTCACGGCTCCCTGCAGGGATTCCCCCCTCCCCTCTCCCATCCTCCAGCGTTGACTGGCAGGAACAGACGGTGGAGGGGGCGGGTCCAGCTGGCTCTGCCTCTGGATAGGAAGAGCCAGCTGTCACTCACGCAGCTGGGTGGATCTCAACAGTAATGTCGGGATCCGTCACGGCTGCGGCGATCTCAGAATACCGCAAGCTGTAGCTCTCTATATACTGAGCTTAGGGTGACGGGAGGACGCTAGTATATGTCCTCCCGTGACCCTTAGGAGAACTATGGGGAAAAACACTGACCCCCATAGTTCTCTTTAAATCTCAGTAATTGGCTTCTTACTGGGACTCCTGAAGCAAGGTCTCTGCAGCTGAGTTCCCAGCTCCGCCCACTTGTTGCAGCATCACGCAGGGTAGTCTCATTTCCCTGTTGTTTTTTTTTTCCATTTTCTTTACACTACAGAGAAAGCAACGGGAAAAAGATGAGATTGTTCTACCGCAGCAGGAACAGCAAAACTCATATAAGAAGAAGGAAGAGAGTGAATACATTCACCGGCATCCACCCATTTGTGGAAATCAGTTTTCTGTGGACTGACCCTTTAAACTTTCACCCACTTTAATGATGTCATTCTTCCTTAAAACACCCCCGAGGGTCACCCCTGCAACACATAGAAAACATGTATCTACACTATATATATATATATA